GACTAGTAGTGCCACCTTGAGGTGCTTGTCTCTCACCAGGCACTGCCCCTATCCAATCTAGGGGGGGTGTCAAACATTTCTTAGTATATTGCTATAGATTATATAGGTTGTGCCTTAGAGAGTACAACCCACTAGGTTATATTGCCTTGTATCCCACCTTTCTAGCCATTCGTTAACTTTCATAGAAATTCCCGTAAAGCGACCGAACTGAGCCCTGAAGCGTACGGGTGGGGTCCAAACCAGAACTTAAAATCAGGGCTGCACCGGAGACTGTACTTTGCCTGAGAGAAAAACTTCGTAGTTGTACATCAGGATAGGCAAGGTGCTGAGTGGGGAGGCCTATCAACATATATATTACTTATATATTTGTGTTGGTTTGCAGGTGTTAGGTGTCCTACTGTGGATCCTACTGTAGAGGGTACAACACCCTTCTTGTATCCCTCTCTCGTCCAACTCTCTTTTCTCTTCTCACTTTTCTCCCTAGCTAAAACCTCTCGCCATTCTCATGCCTAGCTAGCTTCTTAGCTCCTTTATATTAGAATAACGCAATGAACTAGATTGTGGCATACAGGGAGGTTTTGTGCTATGGTGATGTACCCTCTATGAGCATGCACATATCTAGCCTATAACATATACCATGTTGACACACCCCCTAGGCTAGACAAGGGGCAGTGCCGAGCAAGAGACATGCAGCTCAGGGTGGCACTACTAGTCCAACCTCTGAGGAAGGGAGCAAGTGATGCTCACTGGACATACAGACGTGTCGTGGGCTGACGACTTGGAGACGCTCAGGTCATCTCAGGGCTACTGTTTTAGTCTTACTGCCGGTGCAGTCTTGTGGAGGTTGTTGTCTGTAGCTCTGTCTCCAGTTGTGAGGCAGAGATCTACGCTGGGGCCATGGCCGCTCAGGAGCTCCGCTGGCTGACGTTCTTGCTCACTGACTTAGGTGAGCAGCCTCTGCCCCGGTCCTGTTTGCTGACAACAGGGCCATGATCCTCCTGTGTCAGGAGGCTCGACTTGAGGGCAGGGCGAAGCACATCTAGCTGTGATACTTCTTGCTTTGTGAGTGGCAGCAGCGCGGCCAGGCTCGGATAGCACACGTGGCCACAGAGGCCAACACCGCTGATATCTTCACCAAGGCACTACCGCCTCATGACCATCAATGGTTTTGTACTCTGCTTGGTCTAGTCTCAGTATCAGCGCCACTCCTTGTATCCAGATATCTACAATACCGGCTTGTACTTGCTATTTCTATCCCTGCATGTCTTGCTACACCTACTGACTGGCCTTTTGGTCTCTTGTCTTAGTGGTCAGACTTGTAGTGCTGCTTTGAGTTATTTTGTTACCTTCATTAGAGGATAGACTAATAGTGCTACCCTGGTTTGTTAAACTCTGCCACTATTGGAAACAAATAATTGGAGAAGTAACTCATTGTGAAAGCTTGCTAGCTTTGCGTGCAATGGCATCGTGCTCACTTCAACTATTCAAGTACAACATTATTCAGGTCGAAGCATGAACAAATAAGCCTACATCAGGCCTAAGTCAAGGGAAGAAGGGTGGGGTGGGTGGGAATCAGACTTGAACGTTGAAAATGAGAACGTGGGTGGAGGGAAATGAGCCTCCAGCCACATTTTGTACTCTGAAGAGGGCGAGTAGCGCATCGCCGAGTGCCGCATTGCCGAGTGCCTTTGCTGCGTTATGAGCCACTTTGCTTTTACGATACACAATTTTAGAAAGTGTTACACTTAAAAAAAAATCATATTGTGAAAGCTTGCTAGCTTTGCTTGCAATGGCATCGTTCTCACTTCAACTGGGCCTCTTGAGACATGTGCCGAGGGGTGCGACGATTGTGTGCAAGGGTGTGGTCGTGTTGCGCGGGCGAGGGTGCAAGGTCGATGTTGTTGAGGAGTTGGGAGGCGGAGAGGAGGTGGTCGTGGGAGATGGTGATGTACATTTCCTTGGCCGTGTTGCTGCGCCAGCGACCCAAATGCTTAAATAGGCGATCGGGGATCCGGGCGTGTGTAGCGACTGTAGCGGCACCTTTGCGGAATGAGTGTGTTCCAAGTTGTTCGACGAAGAGGCCTATTTTCTTGAACGCCTTGAGGCACCAGGCTTGGATAGTGGGGTACGAGGGCGATCGGTCTCCGGGGTGCGCCTGGGTTCAGGAGGAGAATACGCGAATGAGTGGGCCTTTGTTGTGCGGTCCATATTCGGCAAGGTGGAGGAAGTTTGCCGTGCAGCGTACAGGGCAGAACGGGCCTGGTGCAACTGCCCCGCGTCCTTCTTGATCTGTCTTGGATTGCGGAATGAGCAGCCACATGGTGTCTTGCTTGAACTGAATTTCTTCCCATTGGATGGAGAACAAGTCAGAGTAGCGAAGAAAAGTGGCATACATCAGAATAGGGATGAGGCCTTTCTGGTACTCGGCTGGGTCGGTCGAGCCCAAGAACTTGCGCGCCATGTTGTGGACTTGATGGAGGGACACGGGTTCCTTGGTCCAGCTCAGGCGTGGACAATGTCGCTTGGCATACTCGCGAAGTTGCAGGGTCGAAGGTCGGTGGTGGGGCATGATGAGCCCGTCATCTTGTGCGCGAAGCTGACTGCTCAACAGGTTAGTTGGATGGCCGACACTGTCGCATGCTGGCCGATGGCATGGACGAGGTAGAGGGCCAGGGTCATGTTCGTAGCGGGAAGGCGAGCTTAACGAGTTGGTAGAATGTGCGAAACTTGGTCTAGTATGGGTTGTAAGTCTTGATGGTGGATGCCGTACGGGATTGCGCGGCGATCAGCGTGAGCTGCCTTTGGAGACGTGGGAGCAGCCCAGCGAGCGTGCAAGGATACACATTAGTCAGGCATAGGTGATGTGGAGGGCGAGGATGGGGCTGTTGGGAAGGCCTTGGCTAGAGAATGCGTGTGTGTGCGAGCCTCCGTGCAGGCATTGGCTGCTGCTGGCCAAGAGAAGGTGACCTATGACCTCTGGGGCCCAGGCATGAGGGGCAGGGCGGAGGAGCGGCCACCAGCTGGCGCTTGGCCATTCTGGAATGATCAATGTGAGCCTGGCCTTGCATCGACTAGCGTGGTGAAGAGTGGTGGGAATGAGGGGTGGGGGAGGAAATGAAAGCCGAGCTCAACTTGTCAGCTGATGGAGAAGCCGTCGGTGGCTGTGGCATGGGGATGGGGAATGGTGGAGTAGAACCGAGGAAGTTGCGCGTTCTGTGAGTTGGCGAACAGATCAAGCGTGTGTGGTCCCCACAGTCAATCCACTAGGTGGAACAAGGGTCGTTTTAGTGAGTAATAATTGTGGTCCTGGACCTTAGAGAGGGCGTCCGCGTGGGCATTGTGGTTGCGCAGAATCCACTGTAGTGCCAGGCGGATATTGTGGTTGACGCATAAATCGGTTATCGCGTGGCAGGTACTGGTGAGCTCCATTTGGCGTGAGCCACCCTTGCGCAGGATGAAGAAGACGCCCTGGTTGTCCACTCGACTGAGGATGTGGCAGCCAATGAGTCGTGTCTTGTACGTCTCAAGTGCCCACAAGATGCCCTCAATTTCCCGTTTAGTGTTGGACGTCGGGAGTAGGGACGTAGGCATCGGGGATCATGCTTCGGCCAGGCCGCCTGGGAAGGTAGTGAGAGTTGCACCCCAGCTGTGAGCACTTGCGTCGATGTGGATCACATCGTCGTATCTGTGGCGAATATGGAAGGGAGAACCGTTAAATTTGTCGAATTGTTGGAGCCAAAACTCGAGCTCAGTAAGAGCTTCAACTAACAGGATCACCTTGGAGTTCCAAGACATCGCTGTGTGAATGGCCTGAAGGAGCTGATGGTTGAATGCGCGGGTGACTGTACCCAAGGCGAGGTTCACGGATGCGAGCATCCCGGTGACACGAGCCACTTGTTTCACAGGAAGGCATCGATCGTGTCGGCCGACTGTGAGCAGGTCGGTGATGGGTCGTAGGAGCAGGGTGCGACGCTCTTCTCCGATATGGAATCTGCCGTGTGCCATGTCGAGTTCAAGACCAAGGAAGCCCAAGCGTTGGGCCAGGTGCAATTGTGATTTTTTCGCGTTGATGATGAGGCCAGCGTTGCGCAGGTCCTCCACTACGCTGGCAGACGTGGTACAGGCGACCGCTTCGGTAGGGGAGAGGAAGAGAATATCGTCCACGTAAGGGATAACCCAAAGGCCTCGAGCGCGCCAACGCTTCGCGAGCTGTTTCATGAGTTGCGTGAATACGAAAGGTGCGGTTGCCAGTCCGAATGGTAGTGAACGGAAGAAGTAATACTGGCTGTCAAATTGGAAGCCGAGGAACTTCCAACACGATGGGTGGATATCCACGTGGTGATACCTGGATCTTAGGTCCACCAAGAACATCCAATCCCCAGGTCGGGCCAGCTCGGTGACACGAGGCAGACCCTCATACTTGAACTTGGGGTTGGTAAGGTGGTTGTTGATATATTGGAGGTCGAGGATAAGCCGGCACTTCTCGCGTTGCACGACAACGTTCAGGGGGCTGACACAAACGAGGGCGTCCGATGAGGCTGCCTTCATCGCTGCACGAGAGACGAGCCGCTCCTGGAATGCCTCGCGAGTGAATGTCGCGAGGTGATTTGCACCGGCATGGTTCAGGGCGTGAGATTGAGCTGCGACGTTCGATTTCCATGGCATCCAGTAGCCCCTCGAGATGATGGAGAGGATGAGGCTACTCTCACACCACGAGGCCCACCACGCAAATGCTTATCTGAGGCGGCCATTCATCATTGTGACTGATTTCTCAGTTACGGCAAACTCGTATGGGTCTGTCCGTTCTGTCAGCCATTCCAAGTCGAGGCCTGCGTATCGCATGAGGGTAGAGGTTATCCCACTGTACATAATTCGTGTGATATGCGTACACTATACAAGACAAAAGGTGCGAGCGGCTCTGAGGGATGCATCGGGTTGGAGAGAGATGCCTGTGCATTTGGGGATCCATGGTGGACAAAGAGCATAGCCACTTGTTAGGCCAAGAGCACAATTGCGGGGTCATTCAAAACTCGTGGCCATCCTCTTCTTCTTCTTCTTCTTCTTCTTCTTCTTCTTCTTCTTCTTCTTCTTCTTCTTCTTCTTCTTCTTCTTCTTCTTCTTCTTCTTCTTCTTCTTCTTCTTCTTCTTCTTCTTCTTCTTCTTCTTCTTCTTCTTCTTCTTCTTCTTCTTCTTCTTCTTCTTCTTCTTCTTCTTCTTCTTCATCATCTTCTACTTCATCTTCTTCTTTCTCTCTCTCTCTCTCTCTCTCTCTCTCTCTCTCTCTCTCTCTCTCTCTCACACACACACACACACACACACACTCACTCTCTTGCTCTCTCTCTCTCTCTCTCTCTCTCTCTCTCTCTCTCTCTCTCTCTCTCTCTCTCTCTCTCTCTCTCTCTCTCTCTCTCTCGCTCGCTCTCCCCCCTCTCTCTTGCTGCTCCTCTGGTTTCTTGATCATGTTCTTACGCTACCCTCTTTTTTTTCTTTTTCTTTTTTTGGGCTCGTGGGCTGCACGGGCCATGCTTTTGGGATCCATCAGATGTATTTAATGCCAGCAAAGTGCCAAATAGTTCCGTCCAAGGGCCAACAGGTCCCATACGAACGCATGACGATTCCCATACCAAGGGTCAATTTGTTCCATCCTAGTGGCGAACTAGTCCCACATGAAGGGCCAACTAGTCCTGCACATAATGTCAACTAGTCCCATGCCAAGGGTCCACTAGTAAATTGCTAGCATCTCTAGCTAAACAAGATCCCTCAGGTCTACCCCATCCTAGGGGTGGGCATCGCACCAAGCACCACATGGTGCAACCACCGTGCATACCAAGCACGCTAATGGGACGCTGCCCAACCAACTAACGCCTCACACAACCAGTGTGGGCCCGTGACCGCCACTTCCCGCGGCGGGGAAGGCGCTGGCCACATGGCCCTGCTGCCCGCAATTGAAGCAGTTGCCTTGGAAGGTCTTTTTTCTGGAAGGGGGGGGTGTGTGCCTTTGGACCAAACGCTGTGATGTCGCGCCCGTTGCCGCGAGGCATGTGGGGCGTGCGCGCGCGCTGGAGGGCGGCCGCATCGGCTACCGCCAGCTTGTAGTGACGTGAGGTGAGGACCACCTTGGTCCGGTACAGCTTGTAGAGGTTGGCCGCGCGGAAGCCGGCGTACTCCGTGACCACGAGCTCGTGACCACGTCGAACTGCTTCTTGATGAGGAGTTTCGCGTCGGCGGTGGTCTCGAGTGCGCCGTCGACGTGGCCGATCTGAACCTTGTGTTCAATGTGCTTCAGGTCGGACTGCAGGTGCTCGATATCTTCGGCCTGGTCCCGCACTCCTTCGCGGTTGAATTCAGCGGCGGCGGTGTCTTGGTCAGGAGGGGAGGGAGGGGTTCGGTGTAAATTGCAGCAGCGTTAAGGACAGGGTCCTCACCATTGTCGCTGTCTTCGTCGGAGTCGGAATGCTCTGCAGGAGCTGCTGGGCGGGCCTTCGCGATGTCGGACGCCTTGTTGGCCCGTGCAATTTTGGCCGCACGCGGCGAGGGAGACGCCTCCTTTTGTTTTCCGATTTTATCGGAAGCAGAAATCGAATTGTCAAGCGTAATGCTCGCGGGGGGTTGCTGCTGTAATAGGGAGAGGAGCGCCTGGACTTGGGCAGGTGAAAGCTCGACCTGAGGACCCTCAGGCGCAACTGCAGCTCGATCCTTCAGGCAGCCACTCGAGGGGCCCGCGATCTCCAGATCCATTCATGGATCTAGGAGGGGTGACGCGCGCGGGCTGTCAAGGGCGGCTGCGCGTGTCTCCTTGGCTGCCATGCACATGGCTTCTGTCCTTGGCGAGGGAGGCTCGACCTGGCCCAGGGCAGCCCCACCAAAAAGGAGAGAAATGCCTGTGGCGCCTTACGTGCGAGAATCTTCAGCTGGGCGTTTTCTGCGACGATCGCCCCCGTGCTCCCGAGAAACTTTCGGAGTAGACTCGTCCTGGCCTGGGGCATCGAGGTCCTTAGACCCGTCGCGAGCATGGGAGCCAGCAGGAGCCATGACCGAAAGGTTAGGAGGGCTGAGGGAGACGTGAAGCGAGGGAGTGATTGAGTCTTCGCCAGCTTGGACGAAAAAAACGGGAATCAAACTTGAACGTTGAAAAAGAGATCGTGGGTGGAGGGAAATGAGCCTCCAGCCACGCTTCGTACTCTGAAGAGGGCGAGTAGTGCATTGTCAGGTGCCTTTGCTGCGTTACGAGCCGCTTCGCTTTTGCAATACACAATTTTAGAAAGTGCTACACAAATTTTTCCATGTTTCTGTAGTATCGAGACTTAAGCGATACGGTGGAGTGGTCAACAACGAGTACGGCGAGTCAACGGAGGTTACAAATGGCAGTTGCGCGTGTAATGAAAGCGTGTGACAGTTACACGCGTGGCAGTTGTATCTGGAAGTTGCGTGGCAGCTCAGCTGCACAGTAACCACTAATGCAAGGCATGGAGTCGCTATACGCTCGGTAGCGCAACAGCAGCTGTAGTAACCAGAGCCTAAGATTGGTTTTAAGGCACCCTGAGTGCTCAGCCCCCCCCCCCCAAAATTTCGCTGAGTTTTCAGGGTTCCCTTAAAAAATTTCGCTGAGCAATCAGAGTTACCTATCTTTTTTCCGCTGAGCTAAATCCTCCTCTACAGTAATATATTCCATTTCACGCTCTTGGCGTTGAACATCAGTTTCGTTTTTGGCTCACTTCAGATCACAAAGCCCCGTGGCGCGTATCGTCGTGCCCTAAATCTGGCTGAGGGAACACGTGTCCTCGCCTCACACAGTCCCTAGTTCAGTAGACGGACATTGGCGCCAAATTTGTCGAAGGGCCAACACGTGCCCTCACACAACCCCCCCCCCAATACACGCCAGCTCTAAATTTGTCGAAGGGGCAATATCTGCCCTCACACAGCCCCCAGCAGCGCACAGTAGCCTAAAACCTGCTAAGGGTCAGTGCGTGCCCTCACAATCCCCAGCACACACCACACTAGCCCTAAATTTGGTGAAGGCTAAAATTTGCCCTCACACAGCCCTAAGCACACATCGAGCAGGGAAAACGGGCGGACATAACAGCAGGGCCCCCGAATCATGCTTACAAGATTCAGGGTTGTCCCCCCATACTATGCTGAGGTGACAGGATCCACTTCAATAGTAACGCTGAGCGATTAGAGTTCACTCACTAAACTTCTCTGAAATCACAGGGGTTAGTCTCAAAACTTCCCTGTCTCATCAGGATTACCCCCCAAAAAAGTCTTGATTTTACCAGGGTAAAAAGCCTGCAATCCGAGGCCCTGGTAGAAACTGTCCTGTATTCTAGAATAACTATATACCGTAATCTCCCGGCATGATTACCCCCCCCGAAAAAAAGCCCATGGGGCTTCATTCCAGGTACTGGGTCTTAATAAAAGCAAGGGATTGTGAGGACCCGCTTTTAGGCTGATCTAATTTAACGACCCCTAATTGCCCTGAAAAGAAGTGTTTCTGTACAAGTCATTATTTCAAATTATGGTCATGGCATCCGAAGCACCTCCGCCATCGCGTGCGCAGCAGTCAACAGAATCACTTCGCATCGTGCCTGTACAGCGGTCGGGGCTAGAATAATACACGTGGCACTATCAAAGCTTTGACATGGATATGTCGACACTCACTGTTAAGCCTTTGCTGAATGTACATAAAAAAACCATTGTTGTTAAAGACCTGGGCTAGAATAGCAAAGGTGGGCCCAACTTGAACCTTTGCCTTCTAGAATCGGTCTAAGTATAGAATGAGTGACTAGAAATACTGTTGTGAATTTCGGATGGAAAGGAATCTGAAAGGGAAAGTATATCGGCGCTCAGTATTCGGGGCCTCGCTAACATGTACGGTCAGTGACACAATATCAACAATCAGAATTAGTGAGTTCGCAACATGTCTCATCAGTCGGGTTCCACCGTTAGTCAGTAACAGCAGGAAAAAAGTTCCACGAATGGTCAGTAGAAGTAACCCTCGCCCAAATCAGAATGTTTTCCCGCTCACGCCAGCCCAATTTCATCATCATTGTGGCCGGCGCGATATTTTTCCGAGCCTCCAGGTGTAGTTCGAGCGAATAAAATATAAATTACCCATATTAGGAATCATCGGGCATCTGTCGATCGACAAACATGAAAAACGATTTGTTTTCGTCGCACCTAATTTCGTCGTGATGAGTAGCACGTCCCGCGATGTCCCAACCGCATTTACGGTACAAAAAGTCAAGCCATAAACTAGCCGTCATACCCGAATCCACAAGCTGTGTGGGCGCTTGAAATATATATACAAATAGCTACTAAGGTTTTTTATGAAATTAATATTTTTAAAATCGCTTCAAGGTACTCTCAGAACGAAATTGGTTCACCTCCGTGCACTAGAGACTAGCTACCGCGCTGCTAGCACTGCCGCCCAGCTCACCGCCTTCCCCCTACCATTCTGTGCTACCCTGTACCTTATTGCCATGCGCTTGCCTGACCGCTTAGTCAATGCCCGAGACCACTTCCTTAGCCAGCACCCAGGCGACCTCACCCTGACTGCCTTTGTCACTGCCCTGTCTGAGATAGAGACTCGCCAGTGCACTATCGCTCAGTCGAGCGGTGTTGCGGCAGTCCCTATCTTTCAGGGCTGTGCTCCCTTCCAATGCACGTATGCTGACGTTTCCGCCGCAGTTGCTTCGGCTACCCCGGGCCGCAGCACCGACAGCGTAGGGACCGCTGCGGCCCCAAGGGAGGGCATGGTGGTGGCGCTGGTGGTGGTCGTGGTGGCGGGGGGGACAGTGGTTCGAACGAGGGGGTTGGGGCTGATGTCCAGGAGCAGCAGCCGACGCAGCAGCAGCAGCAGCAGCAGCAGCAGCAGCAGCAGCAGCACCAGCGGCAGCAGTCGTGGGTCCACCTCCCGCCGAGGTGGCTAGGAGCCCCAGGAGGTGGTGGCCGCGGTGGCAGCCCCCGCAGCTCGTCGTCTACCGGCGGCTTCGGTTCTGTGGGCTGCTAGTACCCGCTCTAGACCGGGCCCCTTCGTGGCACTGTGTGCCACCGCCCGCACCCGACCGCCCGCTGCTTCCGCCGCCTCGACGACCTGTTCCGTTATCACTTCGGCCCAGCCCCAGACCTCCCCGACTGGCCCAGTCTGCTCTGTCACGGTGTGCCTGTGTTTGACTTAGACATGGATCAGATTAGTTCTGCCCTGCATTCTCTGTGTGCTGACGCTTCTAGTGTGTCCGGATCTTATTACCCTGTGTTCTCTAGCTTAGGCGTCGCACCTGTATGTAGTACAGACTCCCCTACTGTGTTAGGCGTAGGACCGTTTGCTTTGTCTAGCCTAGGCTCTACCTTTGCTCCTCCTTCGTTTGCAACTACTGCGTCGCTGTCCTTCACGCTCGACTCTGGTGCGTCTGCCTGATTCTTCCGTGACCACGCCACTCTCGCGCCGCTTGCTGCCCCTGCCTCT